ATCAATCAAAACTGCCTATTTTACCTTTTGTTATTGTACCTATTAGTTTTCATTCAGTCTCTGTATTTTTTTCCTATTTATCTTATATCTGAGACCTAATGGTTTTAAATAGTGCTCTTTTTTCTTCTATACATAGCTTTATCCATGTTGCCCGTCTTCAATAATTTAAAAAGATATTCAAAAATGATTATTTTGTGTTTTTTAGGCCCCAACTGTAATGTTTTTAAATGTTATTTTAGTTTTGTACATAGGAAATATGCAGATACTGGTATAGTTGAAATTTTGCAGTTTATTGATTTTTATCTACTAATACGGTTTGTATATAGTATTAAATTTTTTAGACTATTAAGGTTTTTGTATTATAAAAGGGATACCGAAATGATGATATAGTGGAACTAATTGTAAAGTGATAACTATTTTCACTTACATTGAAAAGATGAAATAAAATTTTCAATAGTCAGTTGTTGCACAGTGTTTTTATCCTAAGATCCTACACCATATCCTCGTCAATCTTGATTTGTTATATATAATGTAAAATACTGGAAGAATGGAGAACGAGTACACTAATTCTACTATTCAAAAAATGAGATAAAAACAACTAGAAAACTACAGAGGTATAAACTTGGTAAATATTACCGTAAAACGCACAACTAAAATTTCACGTGGTAATAAATCAGAGGATAAGTTTAACAGATGAACAACAAGGTTTTCGTAGTGGAAGATTGTGTACAGCAAACTACTGAGTATCACTAGAGTATAATACATCAGCATTTTTGTGTCTGAAAGAAAGCGTTTGACAGATTAAGACTCAAAGATGTAATCCATCTTCTGTATAATAGAGAAGTTTCCAAGTATAAAAACTATCGAAAACATCTACCAAAACCCCAAAATGGAAATCAGAATAGATGGAACACTTACAGAACCTATAGAAATAGACAGCGGAATAAACAAGGGAATAAAAAAGGTGAAGATAGTCTGCAAAACTGGTCCACAGATTTAACATAAGAGCAAAATAATTTAATATGATAATCTAATCTCAGAAAACTAAAACGATAGTAGTTCGCAAAGAACCAACCATTTTTGTTTTGGGTTTAAGGCTGTTTTAGCAGTTCAAGCACACTCCGATTTGAAATGGGCATATCACTTATGGGAGTAGTTTAATGACAACATATGCATTATTCTCCATTCAATGTAAAGATTCTGGTGACGAAGACACACTTACCATAAATAATCTACCTGCTAAACAGCTTAAGCGCCTGCTAAAAGAAATTTTCATAAATATAATACAAGGCAAAACATTGTCTCTAATACAGAAGATGACAAAGATGGCTAATCAGTGGAAGAATTTGACACGCCATCAAAGAAGAACAACAAAAATAAAGAGAAAAAAGATTTATAAATGGGAAACCGAAGATTTGGTTTATGATGGTGAAGAATTTATTAACGTTGAAGAAGAAATACCTCCGCAAACTCCTTTAGATATGTTTTCTTTTATTTTTTGATGAAACAATACTGATCCTAATAGTTGTCGAACCAAATCGATATGCTGGGCAACAAAACCATTGCCTGAAAATAGAAAAACGTGAGATAAAAGCATTTATTGAAGTGTTATTACTCAGTGGATGTGCGCCAGTTGCGAGGTGGAGAATCTTCTGGGAAAACGAAAGAGACAGTCAAAATGTACTGGTTTTTCAAGTTTTGTCAAGGAATAAATTCGAATATATTTTATCTCACTTTCACCTAACTGACAACTTCAATATAAATATGTGCCCATCGTCCTACATATAAGACGTCCAAAATTTTGTATATTTATCAAAAAAATAAATTTTATTTTCGTCTATAACAATTATAAGAGAAAAACTAATTAGAATCACGAGTAGACATAATGGGCATATCTGGGTTAAAATAATCTGATATGCAGACGACGCAATACTACTTTCTCAAAGTGAAGATGCTTTACAACGTATGCTGCACCGATTTAATATAACATAATAATTTAATATAATATAACAGCCAGAAAATTTAACATGTTAATTTCTCCAAAAAAGACAAAATGCGTGGTTACAACACCAAATTTGCTGTTGTAACCACGTGATGGAGTTTAAATATCTAGGCATCACATTATCTAGCTATATGAAACAATATGGATAAATAAAATTTACGGAATTTACAAAACAGTCATCACACCCATAATGACATACGCGGCAGAAACAAGACCTGACACAGATAGGACAAAAAGGATGTCAGAAACAGTAGAGATGAAAACACTTAAAAAAATTAGTACAGATATACGATATAGAGGCAAGGTGGAGAACATTAAAAACTGGGTAAGAAATAGAACAGTAGAATGGAACGATCATATAAGCCGAATGACAACAAATAGAATAATAAACACGGCAAGAGACGGTTCCCCAATAGGAAGACCACAAAAACGATAGAATAACAACTTGCTTGAGGCTCATTGAAAAACAGACAGTCATGTCTATATAAAAAGAAGAAGAAGATGACATGAATTCCAACCTTTTTGAAGAGTGGCTGCAAAGGGTTTTGCCAACTTTTGCTAAAACGGCAGTTATTATCCTAGATAATGCGTGCTACCATAGCAGAAAATATGAAAAGATACTAACTAGTGCTATGCGAAAAGCTAATATTCAAGAATGGTTGCGACAAAAAATATATTTACTGACTGACGACATGGTCCAAGCTGAGTTACTAACGCTAGTAAAAAATCATTCCATAGAACAAAAGTATGTGGTAGATGAAATTATTAAGTTTTTAGGTAGATGTGTGCTTAGATTGCTTCCTTATCACTGCGAGCTAAACCCCATTGAGCTAATATGGGCACAAGTAAAGGGTGAAGTTGCAAGAAAAAATACCACATATAAATTAAATGACGTAAAAGTACTTTTCAGCGAAGCAATGAATAATGTTACATCGGATGCCTAGAAAAATGCTATCAACTATGTAGATGGCATCATATTTAAGATGTGGGAACTAGATTTTATTGTAGAAAAGCAGAACCATTGATTATTAATTTAGGTGACGACGAATCTTCATCCGAGGACACTGATAGTAATTAATTTATTAATTACGAATAAAGGTAACCTCTTTTTGCCATATTTTATTTATTTTTTTTTTATTTAAAACGCCCAACTTTGAAAAACTTCAATTCAAATGAAATCGTAGGCTTCCACGGCCAGAGTCAGAATTATAGTTTATTCGTCTTCCGGGTTTGGACCGTGTCATTTGTGAGTGACCCAAAAGTGGGTTCATCTCTTTTGAGAGATGATCATTCGATCAGGTCTTTTCTCCCATTCTGCAGTTGCAAAACACTGCCAAGAAACCGGTCATTCCATATTGTGCGAAAAAACCCATATTATTTCTAAGAGCTCCTTCTTTTATTCCAGGAAAATCCGCGAATCTAGAGATTCGCGGAGATCCCAAAAAATCCCCATAATATTAATCGAGAGGAAGGATACTACTTGTCTCCCATCTGGAATCTCAGTCTAGAGCCGCCGTCCGGTCCCGCTACCACGATGCAGCCACATGATTGGCCAGCGCGCGCTTCTTGACGTTCGCGCCACGAAGTGTGCTGATACGTCCCGACACGACAGGCACCGCGACTATAAATAGAGCGGTAGCGGAGTAATCGTCGGATTCACTCCCCGCCTCTCGACGCCTTAGTGTTCAGAGCTGTTGGACGTGAATCCCTGTCCTGGCATTTGGTTTTCACCTCTGGCTGCGTTGAGTAGTTGAGTTACTGTGACCAAATGCCCATCTTGGTAGTTAGTATTCGCCTCTGGTTGCGTTGAGTAACTGAGTTACCGTTGCTAACTACCCATCTTCCTGTCCTTTGTTTTCTTTTTCTTTGTTCTCCTGAAGAAGCTACATACAATTGTAGCGAAACGTCGAGATGAACCCACTTTTGGGTCACTCACAAATGACACGGTCCAAACCCGGAAGACGAATAAACTATAACTTCAATTCAGTCGAATTCGGATCAAGGCTGAAAAACAATACCTGAAATATTGGACTTTTCAATGAAAATCGGCCCATTTTTTTTAATATGGGACTTTAATATCATCATTTTATTGACGATACAATTATATTAATGTGATATTTTAGTGATATATTGAACTTTTATTATTTGCGGCTTCAAACTGATTACTGACATAAAATAACTTTTTACATAAAATCATATTGCAAAGCAGCAGATTTGATTTTGGTTAAAAGCACGGAATGGTTTGTAAATGAGTAATTAAATGGTATTAATTTTAAATAGCGCGAATGAAATCAAGAAGTTTGTTTACTTAAAATGGTTGACAAAGCCGAAAAAAAAACATTGATCAGCAATCATTATATCATTGTATGCAGTATGCCTCGTAATACAGATGATTAATGTGTAGATATACATGAATTGTTATTGTTTTTGGATCGTCTTTTCAGAAGACGTTAATTCAAATACAGAAATTTCAATTTGATATGATTTTTCGGACTAGTTGGTCACACTATTCATAGTACATAATCAATAATAAATTGTAAATATCAAAACTCCATTATTACAGTGACAAATATAATTAAGTTTTCCATATGTATATTATGGGTTTTACCGCATTCACTGCGATAATTGTATCTCTCTTCTTGACCTAGCGTAAATCGAACTTTTGACATCGGGAACTGCAACTCGTAACCAGCTCATGGCGTTCACGTGATAATTCTATCTGTTCGGCGGCCCAACTATAATCGATCGTGATCGACGGGTTATCTTCCCCTGGCTTAGTGGATGCTAATATACTTAAATGGTATAAAAGGCTTAAAATTCACCGTTAAATCCAAATAATCCATTATCACCCACATTTTTAGCGTAACTACTTTAATTATTATTCACGATATTCTTTAGATTTGGTTCTAAAAGTTGTTTCACTAATTAGACCCCAACCTTATTTAGTGAAGATAGTTATTAGTTAGTTAAGGGATAGTATGAAAGTATAAACACAATATCTCATATAACAATTTTATTGTTTTTGTCTAAATTATTTTCAACAATTACAGCCGCGCTTTTTTCAGTCTTTTGTCTTACAAAGAAATAAATAAAAACAAACGCAAACATACTAACACTTAAAAATAAATAAAAAGGAACTCCTACATTATACTGAGTCAATAATACTTGGAATATCTTTGTAATAATTAAAGCTAACATGGAATGAAAACATATGAAGAAATGAGTGGCGAATGTTCTGTAGGAACTGGAAAACAGTTCCGGAATCATTGTAACTGGAATGTTTCCTAATCCTAGAGTATGTACTATAATAAATAAAAATAGAATGAGAGTTGAAGAATAACTCCAGTACTTCTCATTCACTTCAAAACAAACAACTAAAATTTTTGTTATTTGTAATAAAATAACGCTAAAAGTAGACAACAATAATACTGTTTTTTTGTTAAACCTTGGCATCAGAAATATACCAATGATATTGCTGATAAAAAACGTAATAGCATACGCTATAGCGAAATACTGGGGGTATGCACAGTGTGATTCCCTGAGTAAAATTTGAGTATATATTAAGGTAGCAGGAGCACCACTAAATTGCTGACAGAATACCAACAAAGTGAATTTTACAAAACCAATACGCGCTTCTCTGTCTTTCACCAAAGGTAAAAAACCGTATTCTTGGTTGTCTATTTTCAGGCTGTCACTTATTTTATTCACTTCGGTATTCAAATTTATGCCCGGTTTTAGTTTAGAAATTATATTTCTAGCTTGTTTGAGTTTATTTGCTTTAACTAACTCCTTAGGAGTAGTGGGCAACAATAAAATTATACAGAAAATAACCAACGTGATTAACATACACGTTATTGACGTGTATCTGAAGTCAATAAAAGGGCCGAATGAGTATATCAGTATAATTCCTAGAAAAACGTACAAATTAATTAGTTTGGTGAACATCTGTTTAAGATCTTCATCACAAATGTTGCTAATGTACATCTTGACTTGGCCTGCACAGTATCCATTACCTATTCCAACCAGAAGTCGGCTTCCTAGTAGCCAGAATATGTTCTGAGATTGCCACATCAGAGTCCATCCAGCTCCCATAATTAGAATACCTATGTAGATAAAAAATACATTAATTATTAAAAGAAAATATTTGTATCCTAATTTTAATATGAAGATTAAATCGAATATCTTTCAGTTTTCAACGTTATTGACGTCTAAATCTTGATATGAAACAAATCGACTATACCTAATGTTGTTGACTCTCTTGTGCTTGGGAATATTTTGACAAAGTCATTATCGGAAACATATTAGACTTGTGACTTTTGTTGAAAAAAATCGATTTTATACTCACAAGCTGAAAATTGTTTTAATCGATAGATTATGATGCCAATATGCTATGCTTAAAAGTTTACCGAAAATTTTCCATGTCAACCTATTTATTTATAAGAATTTTTAAACAAATTATAAAAAAATACTTTTTCGTAAAATGCTTAGGGGAGGGCGGGGTAATGCCGTCATATGGGGCAACTCCGTCACTGAGTAATGTTCTCGACGGGTAATTTCGTCAATTTAGTTCCGGGTAATGCCGCCATGACGGTATTGCCCCGTATTTTCTTATTGAAATGAAAGGTTAACAACACATTTTTTTTGTGATTTTCAGATCACAAACGAACGATCACGTAAAAGAACAACATAAAAGGCTATGTGAAAGGAGGAAAACCTCAAAAAGGCTATTGAAGCAGTTCGCCAAAATGGTGTCTCGTGAAAAAAGCAGCTTCAATGTTTGGCATACCCCGAACAACATTAAGAGATAGGCTAAATACAAACGATGGTAGTAAGCCGAGATTGGGTTGGAAATGTGTTTTTTCTGTAGAGCAAGAACAAAACTTAGCAGAGCATGTGGTTAGCCTATCAAAACTATTTTATGGTATCACTACAAATGAACTAAGGCGACTGGCTTTCGAATTGGCTGAAAAACATCAAATCAACCACAACTTTAGCAAAGAGACCAAGTTGGCCGGATACATTGGCTAAATGGGTTTATCAGCAGGCAAAAAATTATTTTAAGTAAACCGAAAGCCACTAGCTTGAACAGGGTCAAAGCATTTAATAAAGACAAAGTTGATTTGTTTTACAAAAATTTAGACACCGTAGTGACTAAGTATAACTTTTCACCGAACCGTATCCATAATATGGACGAAACTGAAATTTCCACAGTACAAAAACCGGGAAAAATTCTTGCACCAAGAGGACAGAAGCAAGTGGGAGGAGTTACGAGTTGGGAGCGTGGCAAGAATATTACTGTAGTGTGTGCCATGAGCGCTTCAGGAATATATACGCCTCCAATGTTTATTTAACCAAGAAAACGGATGTCACCTTTGTTGCAGCGAGGAGGACCCCCTGGAGCCATTTATAGATGTTCACACAATGGGTGGTCCAACGAAAATTTATTTTTAGATTGGCTGAAACATTTCCAGAGAACCACTAAGTCATGCAAAGAGGACCCTCTCCTTCTGTTAATAGATAATCATGAAACCCATATTTCTTTGCCATGTTATGGCTTTTGCCGTTCAAACCACATTCACGTTGTGTCGCTTTCACTCATTCCTCGCACATACTCCAGCCCTTAGATGTTTCTTTCTACGGGTCTGTTCAGAATGCATTCAATAAGGAGTGTGATAATTTTATGAAAACAAATTTTCATCAAAAAATCACTCCATACGATATTGTTCCGATATTCAGCAAAGCTTACTCGAGGATTGCTACCCTTGAAAAGGCAGTAGCAGGACTCAAGCATGTGAAATCTTTCCGTTTTAACCAGATAAATCCAGATAAATTCAGTGAAGAAGATTTTGCTCCTACTCATTTAGTCATACAGCAAATATTTGTTGAGGACAAAGAGGAAAATTCTGAAAAACTCAATGATACCTCTACTAATGAGGCACCTATTAATGAAAATCCTCCTGAAAGTGCTGCTACTGCGATCGAGGTTATTAATCGTAGTCAACCGGGGACATCGTCAGGAAAAGTAGATTTTTCAAAAAGCTTTCTCGACATTTCACCAATGCCAACTGACAGGACCGATCCTAAACAAAAAAGGTCAGGATAGAAAGCAACATTCTATTATCCTGACTTCAAGAACAATGAAAGATATCATGCAAGATGCTAAAGAAAAAAGGGAGTTGAAGCAAAAAGCGAAAACAGTGAAACGAAATTTTACAGATTGGGAAGATAACAAAAATATTGGAAAAAAATTAAAACAAAACAGAAGGACGTTTATATCCGAAGACGAGCTTTATAAGAATAAAAAAAAAACAAAGAAAATGAAGAAAACTATCAGACCAAAATTCGATTTCGATGAAACATCGTCAGAAGATTTTGATGATGACAAACTTTGTAATGATGATTCAAATGATGATATCTCCACACCCACTGTGTTTGCCGATGAGGAGAAATGTTTAATTTGTGGAGAATTTTGAGACATGAACTTTGGGATCGCTGTACACTTTGCTCGAAATGGGCTCATTCTCAATGCAGTAGAAAATACAGTGCCAAAAATTATGTTTGTGACTTCTGTGAATAGAATAGTAGGTTGTTTTTAGGTTATGTTTTCATTTATCATTCATTATACTGTTATTTTCTAATGTTTCCAAATAAAATTTCAATAAACATATTTGCTTAGAATATGTTTTATAGAGAAATCTTATCCATCATTTCAGTTCAGTAGGTGGCGCCATTACCCCCTAGGCCTGGGGCAATGCCGTTACAAAAAAGTGTTGCGTTTATTGTCGCTTAATAAAGGCGAATGAAAAATTTCTGAAAATTAATTTAAGTTAAAAACTTAGATCTTAGATCGCTAGCATAGTTAGATATTTCTTTCATCTCAAAATTAAGTCACAAAAAATAATGATCTCTCCCCTACTTTAATCGTAAAATGCAAATAAAGAAATAAAAATGCCAAAAAAGACAATTTTAACGTTTTTCATGGCCATTTTCAATACGTTAGACATCGAATTTAAAAAGATAAAAAATAGGAGATGACAGATAATCTAGACGAAATTTGTGAAGTGTTATGTTCGACGTCAATAACGCTAAAATATATTATAGTAATTAATGATAATAAATTACATACTCTACCTATTAGAATACTGAATTTGGTTCCAAGGAATGTTTTTCGGCAAAAAGGAGTCCCCACTGTGTTACCGATCATCAAGAAACCGGCTATCATTGCACTTTGGTCCATCGTTATGGGTATCGGCGAGTCCTGGCTGATGAGTATTGGATTCGTTGGCGATGGCCAACCCAGCATTAGGCCGAATGGAAGACATGCTAATGATGCTGAAACAAAAGAGAAACGGTTTTACAAATTTCCACCAATATAATATCTGTTTAATCAGCTTATAGGCCGATTATTCGAACGCTAATCAAACCTTGATTGTAATCAAATATTTAATTACAATTAAATATCACAGGAGCTGTCAAAATTATTAAAAATTGCTTAATATTATTATTTATTTGTAAATAAAAACATGAAATTAACATAAGAAAGAGATTAATTATGGTTTATTTTAAATTAAAACGCAAAATAATAAAATGAAATAAAATAAATCAGTCAAGATAACGTCAAACATTTTACAAAGGATATTGTTGGTCAATATCTATGCGGATTTACTGCTGGAAAGTCAACTTCACATCAAATTTAAGCACATAGGCAGATTCTAGAAAAGTCACTAGAATATAACATAGATACACGCCATATGACAGTGTGAAAATAACTGCATTATATAATGCAATGATAGACTTTGGGATTCCAGCTAAGTTAGGGGAAGTGTGCCTATGTTGGACCCCTGCCTATGACGGACCCCCGGCTGTGTTTTAAATAGCGCGCGGTTACATACACATCGCCGGTTGCCGCTTGCGCACGAAGTTTGTAGTTTAGTATTTGCAAAGTTTCAGATACGTGGCTGTTATAACAGTAAATTTGTGAAATAAAATTAAAATTTGGCGTTGCTGATCTAATAAATTTTTTTGGTAAGTAGCATTTTACTGGTAACATACGTTAAGCTAAGTGTTGCTTTTGTTTTGTATAAAATGACTACACTTTCTTTGTCAAATACTATACTTTGTTTTAGGTTAAAATGGTCAAAACAAAAGTAACAGAATTAAATTTGCTGCCTTGTCTATTTGCCTATGATGGACCCCTGTGTCGTTACCTATGACGGACTAGGGGTCCATCATAGGAAAAAGAAAATAAAATTGGACACAGCTTCAGTTTTTGTTACTTAATGATTAACATAATATGTTTTACAGGGATGGCTCTACAAAAAGGCAACAGTGGAACGAGAGTAATATGCAACAAGCTTTAAAAAGCATACAAGAAAAAACTATGGGGTTTAAGCTGGCAGCAAAAACATTTAACGTTCCAAAAACGACTTTGAAAAGGCGCTTTATTAAGCATCAAGGAAGTATCAAAGGTGATTTGGGAGGACGAAGACCAATATTCTCCACTACTATTGAACAGGAAGTTGCTGACCATATTATTACCATGGAAACTCGTTTTTTTGGCGTGACTAGTAAAGATTTGCGAAAACTTGTATACGAAGTAGCTGAAAGAAACAATATTAGCCACAATTTTAATAAGGAAACCAGGATGGCAGGCTGGAAATGGTCAGAGGCTTTTTAAAGCGAAATCCTCGAATATCATTACGCACTCCAGAAAATACTTCGTTGGCAAGGGCTCAAGCTTTTAATAAACCAAATATATGTGCCTATTTTACTGCATTAGCAAATATATTAGACGAGTTTCACTTTCCACCGGAAAACATTTATAATATGGACGAGTCCAGTTTGACAACTGTGCAAAAGAAATCGCAGAAAATTTATGATAGTAAAGGTCGCAAACAAGTTGGTGCTTTAAGTAGTGCAGAGCGCGGTCTACATGTTACGGTCGTATGTGCAATGAATGCAATTGGAACATATGTTCCTCCTGCTTTGATTTTTCCTCGACAGAGAAAAAAAGATGAACTTATGATCGATGCACCTACTGGAAAGTAAGCCTTCGGTCAAGAAAAAGGATGGATGACTTCCGATATTTTCTATTTGTGGCTGCAACATTTTTTAAGGTATACAAAGGCTTCTAAAACCAACAAAGTTTTGTTGTTACTCGATGGCCATGGTAGTCACAAAAGTTTTGAAGCTCTCCAGTTTGCAAAGGAAAACGGTATTATTATGTTTTGTTTTCCTGCTCACTGTTCTCATCACATTTAACCCTTGGACGTAGGATTTTTTAGACCACTTCAAATTTACTACGGCCAAGAAATTCAATTATGGCTGCGACAGAATCCAGGTAAAACGGTGACCGAATTTAAAGTAGCCAGTCTCTTTAATAGAGCGTATTTAAAAAGTGCTTTACCATCAAATCAAATCCAGATGTCTTCGAGGATTGGCAATTGGCAGATAGAGAAAATTCTGAACAAAACCCACTGCCAGAATGTTCTGACCAGAAGTCACCACCGGAACATTGGAGCCAAAATGTTTCTTCGATTGAAAGTTTATCAAAAAGCCCCACTTATCAGAAATCAACATCATCGTCAGTTCTAAACATCTCGGTAGAAGATATTTGTCCTCCTCCTTTAGCTGGAGTATCTCAAGTAATGCAGAAAATGGGTAGAAAACGGGGTAAAACAGGATATTTAAATTCAACGCCAGAAATTGAAGATATAAAACAAAAAATTGCAGACAAAGAAGCAAAAAAAAGGAAACAAGACGCCAGAAAAGTGAAAAGGCAAGTTCGTGTTTCAACTACAAGTGGTTCTGAAGACGATTGTGAATGTTCTTTTGTAGAAGGCGACTCGGCCGATGCAGCTTGCATCTACTGTAACGAACTATTTTCGCATTCACGATCCAATGAAAAAATGGATTCGTTGTCAAGTGTGTAAGAATTGGTGTCACACTGAATGTGCAGATGTAAATCCTCGACATAAACAATTTGTGAGTGAATTGTGCGCGTAATTTTTTTATTCTTAAAAATACCATGTATAATATTTTTTATCGTTTGTAATGTCTTTTGATCTAATAAAATAATTTGGTATTTAATTATTTTACACAAAATGCAACGAGTCCATCATGGGCGTACCAAAGGGTCCATCATGAGCGCATATATGCCCATGATGGACCCTTAACAGGATTTTAGTAAATTATGAATAAATTTTTAACATCACTTTTTATGTAAAATTTGAAACATTTGCCATATTGTACAAATAACGAGACGTTATGTGGTCATATTTAAAGTCTGCTAAGTAAATAATTAAAATTATTATGAAGCTATTTTCTTAAGGGGACCATCATAGGCACATTTCCCCTAGTTAAGTTGATCCAACTAACAATGAAAAACGTAATACGTAAAGTTCATGCGTTAGAATTGAAGGAGAAAACTCTAGATTCTTTGATATTAATGGTATAAGACAGAGAGACGCGCTGGCGTGTCTCCTATTTCTTATTGTCTTGGAAAAGGCAATCAGATAATTAAATATTAGAATGAATGGAACCATTTTTAATAGATCGACGCAAATTCTCACATTTGCTCACAATATAGTTATTACATGAGAGATATGGTGCTGTGTTTTCCCCCCGAAATATCCAACAGATAATTCCAATTAATAACCATACCTTTGAGCAAGTCAACGAATTCACATATCTTGGATCACTAGTAAACGCAGTAAACACGACAAGCGACAAAATAAAAAGACGCATAGCAATAACAAACAGAACTGTTAACGGTCTCAGAAACTGTTCAAAAGGTTCACTGTTTACAGAAACATTTAAAAAATAAAAATATACAATATGCGGTAAAGCTCAATATATACAAGACCTTAATAAGACCGGTTTGGCCTTTAATAAGACCTTTTTATAATATGGGACTGAAACGTGGAGCTTATCTCAAAATGAAGAAAAAATTATTGGTATTTTTGAAAGAAAAATTCTTAGAAAGATTTTGGGGCCGACTATGGCATCGGAGATACAACTTTGAACTATATCAGTTATACACCGATCCAGATATTGTTAAATTCGTTAAACGTGCAAAGACTTAGATATGCTAGACACCTTGCTAATATGTCAGATCACGAATACACAAAGGTATTAACATTTTCAAAACCAGAGGACACAAGAAGTAGAGGACGACCACGAAGGAGATGGATTGATGATGTGGAACAAGACTTACAGATCCTAAGAGTCAGAAGATGGAGAGAAGTTGCCAGGAATCGATAGGAGTGGCCACTTCTTTGTGAGCAGGCCAAGATCCACAACGAATTGTCGAACCACTTATGATGATGATTATATAAAGCTGTAGTCAATGTAATTTGCTACATATAATGTCTAATACATTTTTTTGTAGGGTTGCTAGTTTACGAGATACAGCGCGAAAACCCTTTCCCCCTTTTTTCCAAGATGGCGACCGGAGGACAAGGGTGGCGACCTCACAAAATTAAACTTAAGCTCATATTTACCCTTCCAAAATATAAAAAAAATAAAATTGCGCGCCCTAAGAAATGCACGCTAAGGCATAAAAAATTTCAATTGACTATACATTATTTCAAATAATGACATTATTTAATTACACGTGGTGTTATATTTATGGGTCTATTCTATACCTACCATTGATATAATATACTATATCGATGGTCTATACTAGGAAAAAAACGTTTTTTCTAATTTGACCAACAAATTTTAAATTAATGCTGTATTAGGAAACCGACATTAAAAACAAATCAAAAAAATATTTAATGTTTGTGAATAACACATCACCAAATTAAAATAAATATAAGTCAACAATAGATTTATCTAGAAATTTGATATTGTCAAAGTATCTTTATTTGTTTTCTATACAATGCTCATTATATATTTTATAGTTCATATTTGACATTTAGTTCCTTTTTATAATATTGTAGAAATAATAGCAAAAAGGCAAACATAATACATATAGTTTGCAGTGAAGCAAAGGGCATTTTAAGGTGTTTCAATTACTTTATAGGTATTAATGGTACTTCAAAGATATTGATGGTAAAGTTGCTACACCACTTTTTGAGTCCCGTTTGTTTGATGTACTAACTTTTTATTTGCCTTTTGCATTTTGTTATTCATTTTATTCGTTCCATGTTAAGTTATTTACTTACCTAAGTCTTCCTTACCTAAGGAAGACTTAGGTTTCCCATTTTTTCTTATTTTTCTTCCATCTTACTAATAATTAATGTCCATCTTATTATAAATTAAAATTTGGAGTTAATTTGGTCAGAATAACCTGAATATAAAAGGTACTTGTTTTTTTGTGACGTTTATAT